TGGAAAAAAAAAACCCCCCCAAGCCCCAGGGCAAAACCCCCCCCCCCCCAAAAAAAAAAAAAAAAAACGAAGGCCGCAATAACACGACACCTTGATGTCCACTAGGGGGCCGCAAAATATCATGGGCCCCGCCCCTCCATCAGTGAGTTTGAGATCCCTGCTCTTTTGACATGACCTCACCTTCTCCCCTTTTTAACGGAACATGAGCAGTGTTGTTCAACGCCCCAGTTGTTCAGCACACGTTCGCAGAACTTACCCAGTGTCCCAGAGCGAGTAGAAACGCCCGCTCCATGGAGCGATGTATCCTGAGGAAAGGAAAAAAATAGTTATTTGAAGTTGAAATTGTGAAAATATATATAGTATATATAGTGGAGGCCACATTATTACACAATAATGTGGCCTCCACTATAAGTGGTCAGAATGTTGCGGCCGGTCACGTTGGTACGTCCTGGTTGACACAAGGCAAGAGGCGGCGTCCGCGCTGGACGGATCAGTGAGTGGCAGAGCTGACATCAAGAGATTACGATCGCCTTTGAATTCTGACTGCCAAGTTGGCTGGCTGCTTGCCGTCCCTCTGGCCAAATATCACTTCGACCGGCTTGCAGTTTGTACTCTGGCTCAATCGGGAGCATGAAGCCGTGTGGCCAAGTTCCATTTCCAAAAGTCCGCGCGCTCTCCAATAGCAGAAAACACAAGCACCTGCCACTTCTAGACACCTCGCAGGGATTGGTCATAAAATAGTTTTTTTAACATCATGGGATGTCTGAAATGCTGTATTTACCTGCCCAAATGTCGACAAATCTCAAATGTGAAATCTCAGAGTCATTTTTTTTTCTGAGCAACCAAGCGTGGTTCGGCACACTTAAAGCGATTCTTGATCCTTGGGAGTGTATTGACAGTCGCGTGACACATACGTTACACAGCAGGCACTACAATTTTAAAATGAGTCCAACAGATATATGTCTCTTAGGCATCCACGTGATGCAACCGACAACATTTGCAAGCAACATTTGTGTCCTATTTTAAACCAACAAACCATTGTGCTGTATATTTATGATGGGGAAAAAATGGGGGGTGGGGGGGATTAGGAAAGCTCATGTGTGATCATCGGTCTCCTGATTGTAAGAATGTGTCGACAGTAGTCGTCTTGACAACTTCATGAATGCAATTCTCTTATTTAGAAACATAACAGGAACCGTTTAAGCTGCAAATTAGGCACAGGGCATTTCAGATGTGCATACATATTGGGAGCTTTGATCTGGAATACATTACAGCTCGGAAATGTTGCTGGGGGGCGTAGGTGTGCACAACCAACACCCATGCAAGGCAACACAAACGAGCGCCGCTGCATATTTTAAAACGTTTTCCCCATTTGAAAACGGTGACTCATTTGGTTCCATCTCTTCATAATACAACTATTCAAAATGACACTTTTTTTTCTGGACAGAATAAAATTTGGAGAGTTTAAAAAAAAAAAAAAAAAGATGCACTCCGTGGTTCGTGCTGATGAGTGTTGAAAAGCCACACACAGCCAGCAGTAGATATAAAAACACACACCCTGACTAAAAGTGGTCCAACTACAGCAATTGATTATAAGCAGGGTGACATGAAGCCCACTTTAATGATCAACAGAAGGATCCAATGTGTTTTATGGCCACCGTTTGAACGGCTGTAAATTTATGCCGCTTGTTGCCACTGGGGGCCGGTGATTTGGGGTGATATTGAATGGCGTGCTCCCAAAACGGCAAATCAACTCTAATTCGCATACATGGAATGAAATGTCATTTTACGCTCAACAAAAAGCACTTCCTCAGCAGGATTTTTTTTTTGGTTTAAACAGCATTGAAATACTCGCGCAAATTCAAACGAAGTCAAAAAACGGGACAAGGAAGCATGAAAAGTTGGTGGCTCGGCTAACCACGAAACCAGAGCGTAGCTGCACATCAGAGAAGAAAATATGAACCAGCAGGACAATGTTAAAAACTGCCTGCTTGTGTGTGTATATATATTAATAATACAAAACACTGAATGTGAGCTGAGCGTGGGCGTCGAGAATAAAACTCGGTGCTATATAACGCATTTCACATTTGATATTTGCTGAAGGGAGCGGAATCCTGCATGAGCCTTTACGGCATCATCCCATCCTTACACTATAAATTGCGGTGCGCAAAAACAAACAAACTGGGACAGATTTTGAGAGCAATCGGCAAGACATCCAGACTTTTTTTTTTCCTCTCCTCCATTCTTTTGTCACACCACCACAAAAAGGGTACCGCTGATGCAAAGTGGAAAAAAAAATGATGACAACCATAAAACTGGGAAAGGAATTTCTTATGACATTCAGGTAGCTCAAAGTATCTGCCCTGGCTGCTCGGTAAAAGATGACAATAACAACATCGTCAAAAAAAAAACAACCCGAGCACATCTGTACAGAGCTACAGATCAAATGCGGTCCTCGTTCATACCATAACCGGACGTCGCAAGCATACCTGTGTACGTGAGATATATCACGGTGAGGAAGACCACGCCGGCGGCGAGCGAAACGCCGAGGAAGAAGAGCGTCTGGAATTCTTGTCTGGTCAGTCTGTCTCTCAAGTATTGCAGGAAGGCATACGCTTGAAGTAGTGCAAACACACCTGGGAGAAAGAAGGGGGTGGGGGGGAGAAAAAAAAATCAGACAACTTTCAAATGTCTTTGTCAAACTAAATAGCGACTGAGTTTTATATTTTGCCATTCATCGTCCCGTTATGAGGTCTGGCGGATTCCATTCCAGCACTCTTTGCACCTTCTTTGACCAACCCGCGGCACCCTTTCCGCAGCGAAGCCCCTGAAGGTTTCTTGGAAAGCAGCCACGGTGCTAAAATTCTACGCCTCCCGTGTGCCTTGGGAGAGGGGGGTGCACCGTCCCAACAAATCTACGGCTCAGTCACTCTCCTATCATCTCCCGTGGTGCTTGCTAAATGCCACCACCAGATGTTCTGAGCAGCTGCTACACAGGCAACAAAATAGATGCAGGAAGAGAAAGCGAGAAAAAAAAAAAAAACAAGTACTGGCAGATAGATTTGGGGTTGAATTGTTCAGAGACTTTTCGGCTGCTGTTTACGGGCAGCGTATGTAAGATTCCCATTGTTCGCGACTTAACTCAAGACTGCATTTATTCTTTGAATTCTCCCCACCCCCACAATTAACAAGCATCAACTTCCACAACAACAAACATATGTAAAAAAAAAAAAAAGTAAACATGGTCCTTGTATTAACCTTTTAAATGCACAAACCAAACATCATAAAATAGGGCTGATTCAGCAGCATTACACCGCTTTCAAATCAACGGTGTCATTAAATCTAAGTAAGGAGGCCATTAAGGGAGAGCAGGGTAGTAGATTAGATCAGGACCATTAATCGGATATTTAGAACGCTACGGTGCACATAAATGTATGTTGGCAGTGTAAAAAGTCACCGAGAGCACTTAAATTTGAAAAGAATATCATTGCTTTGGTGGTGTACCTTGAACACGTGAGGTGGTGGCAAAAATGTGATCTCACACCCCCCCACCCCCGACATGCGCAAATGTTGCACTTTAGCGAGAACCGTTTCGCTCAAGTATCAGTTGCAGGATGGTGGCCAGTATTTTTTTTTTCTCACAAGGTATTCTACAAAAAAAAAACACGCTTTAAAAATATATACATTTCCATAATTAACACTTTGCAGTACATACAAATATGCCCCTCGATGGGTGGAACTTTGTCACAGCCCTTGTCTGAACAATCCACCTATAATTAAAATCATTGGAATGCTTAAGCTTAAAAAAAAAAAAAAAACACTAAACATACCTGTACTGGCGAAACGACTCGCGAGTACTTTGCTGTCGGCAATCAGTTGATGCGCCGGCAAAGCGGGTTGCTTTGTCAAGGAATCTTGCGAAACGCGCGTCGCTTGGAACGGCAGCGTGTGCTTGCACAAAACTCGACGGGCCTCTCGGAACATTGCCGCTCACGCACAAATTTGGTATTCGGCTATCGTGGACGTTTTGTAGTTGATTTTCCTTTTTATCGTGCTACGCAATCGTCAAGAGTACAACGCTTCTCATTGGCCGAGACAGATGTTGCCGTCTTATGGTAATGCGGATTGGCTAGGTTATTTCTTTTCTTTTTTTTCTTTTTTTTTTTTTTTTTTTTACGCCTGTTATCTGTTGGCTCGGATTTGGCACCTGCACTTCCCGTCCGAAAATGAAAATGTTCATCCGACTTACCGGCGGCAGCCATATGCTCACTGGTCCTGATGGGCTGGAAGCCGACAAATGGAATCTGCATTGATAGTACAAGACCAACAATGTAGAAGGTGCTGTAAGCTGTAGAGAGATAAGCACATGGGGGGGGGGGAGCCATCAAACCACAAGCTCATCGTCTCCAAGGGACATCAATGGCACACATTTCAACAAATGTCGGCTCAAGTCTACTTTAACCCTTTGAGGGACAGCGGTCACTACAGTGGACAGCTTCTCTTGTTATCAGGTGACATGTAATGAAGGTTTGATGATCACAAATACAGAAAAAAATAAATAAATAAAAAGCTAAACCACAGCGATACGGGGGGTGGCAGGTGGTAGCATTTCTTTGAGAAAGCATGGCCAGCTGCTTATGAATGTCAATTTGAAATTTGAGCATCTGGTGGAAGGAGATTCTTCGCCTCCATTTTACATTCCCATGTCAATCTAAGTGTAACCATCAAGTCACTACCCCCACGGCAACGCCTTCGTAGGGTCAAGGAGTGCGCCATACCGATGTAGACTCGTCGGCTGTAACGTTGCATCAGCAGCAGCACAAACACGTGGAGGGGAATCAGGTTGATGATAAACACGTAGCCGCCCCATGCCGACACCTGGAAGACACAAGTCCACATGCGTCTGCTTTCATTTCGTTTGAACGCGTGTTGGTACTGCAAAAAGTCTTGAAAGAAATAAAACGTCCACGGGAGGCATATTATAGCTGCACCGGTTGTGAGAGCGCGATATAAATCAAGCTGTATTGTATTCCCTTTAGCGTAGCCCCATCTAGTGGATGCATAACGCAACCGCTGCCACTACTCTATGCGCCTTATAATGCGGTGCGCCAGATATATGAAAACAGTTTGAAAATGGGCCATTCATTGAAGGGGCACCTTATAGTGCGGAAAAAAAACAAAAAAACTATTTCAGACACCATCTGCAGGATTTGCATCGAACACAACTGACAAAAGGGTACAAAGCAAGAATTCGTGCTTCTTGCTCTCAGTCGATGAGCCTTTGAGTCACTTTACCTTGCCGTTGCGAGTGACAAGTACGCCCCCCTCTGTGTGTTCAAATACGGTCAGTTTCCTATTTTGTCACAAATAGACACTTTTGGTCAGTCGCAATGGTGTGCGTTATTTCTACAAATTAAGTGTGAGTTTTATCTACCGTCAGGGCCTCGTGATGATTAGTTGAGCCAATTAAATTATTGGCAAGCTTACATGATTATGTCTCAATGGCATTATACAAAGTTTAACGCCCGGCAAATGAAAAGTAGCGCCTCTCACTAGACTAGCACAAAGACTCCATATCCAAGTAAAACGCATCAACTAATGACACACCAAACCACCTCCACGAGAAAACATAAAATTGATCTTGAGCCGAGTTAGCCTGTGGCCCTGAGGAGCGTGACAAGCTCACACAGTGACATCACATCGCGGGGCAGCATCTCAAGCGTTCCGCGACACGCACAAATCGAATCAGCCCTTTAAATGGTGATTAGATCCAATCACTGGGTATCCGCAGAGTCCTGCCCCAAGGGCCGACTCCCAACACACGACGCTGTAAGAAGCGTGGTTGGAAAAGCCCAACAACGTGGCCTCTTAGCCCAAGGGGAACAGCTCGGGGGCAAGAATCGCACAGCGGCTGGAGCAAAGTCTTTTACGCTCAAATCGCGCTCTGAAGTTCACACTCGGCTCCTCTGCTGACCCCGGGGCCATGCTCAAGAGGAGACAGCCAACATGGCAGGCAAAAAATAAAAGAAAATGTGCATGGTAAGATGATATTTTTTTGTGGTACTGTACACTTCACCCCAAGCATCCTATCAGTTTCACTTTCCCCACCAAAAAGGCAATTTAAAAAAAGAAAAATCATACCTTTAAACTAAGGGGGCGTGTGACCTCCGTCGCTGGAAGTTGTTAGCGGTTAGCAGTCTGCAATTGCAGCTTGCGATCAGAGCTGTTGCGATGTTTTTCTCTCTTTTTTTTCCAGTAGTATTCTCATTCAAAGTTTGTTTCATCTGCAATTCACCGAAGGCACTGGCAAAGAACGGGAATCTGTAGCGCCAGAAGCATTTTAAAACGGTACATGTGAGCTACGACCGTGATATTCGTGCAGTTAGCAATCTGCAAAAGTGCGCCCCCGTGCCTCCGCGTCAGGTCTCGCACCAAGGGAGGCCGTGATTTCCTTTTTCCACAAATTGACTTTATTTTTCTGTTTTGTTCAGGTTCGGGGCCGTTACAGCTGGGTGGGCGTGTGCTTACGCGTGCAACATTCGGTCACAGTCGATCGCGGGAGATTTGAAGTGTCAAAAAAGGTGGGGCACCCCTGCTTTAGACAGAGGGATCATGAAAATACATGACTTGAATAACGAGCAGGCTGTTGCGCATCAAGCTTCTCCTCCACCCTCGCGCGGCAGCAACTGTGAAAAGCAGAATTTTTGCACAGGCATTAGCATGTTTATGGTCGCTCCTGTCCATCGGGGGAAGCGTGCCTTTTCTTATCTCGCCTTTCTTCCGAAGAGGCTGATATCAAGACCGGGGATCTCGTTCCATCTTTGTGCATGTCACATTCAGTTACGCCACATATTAAGTGCAAACCATGGCCACATGTCAACATAGGGTGGCGGGGTTGTAATTTAAAAAAAAAAATAAGAATAAAAAAAGCATCTCAAAGAGTTGATGCTGTGCTTTTGCTTCATGATCAAAAGCTTTTTTTTTTTTTGTTGTTGCTAGGGCAACTGTATCAACAACAGTGGGAGGGCTGCGGATAAAGTACACACTTATTACCAATTCAGAGAGCGCATGATGGAGACGAGTAAATCTCACACACACACACAAAAAAAAAATGGAAACAGGAATTTATGCGTCTCATGTCCAAAAATAAATCATTCTTACGCCACATGTCTTGCCACACACTCAAATCTCTCCTTTCAATTGATTGTCATACTCGTCTTTCAATCGGTCCGATCTATCAAAGCGGCCCCTTTTGGATGCCGTGATGCGGTGGGATCGATGAAGCTGGACAGTTGTATTTTTGTTTCGTTGGACGCCTTGCTTTCTGCGAGCTGGAAAAATGCAGCCAGAGACATTACCAGGAAGTGCCCCCACCACGCCCCCTTCAAAAAGGCGGACACGCCCTCTTTCAGAAATATGCGCACAATTTGTCACGAAAGGGAAAAGGGCCCTGGGATAATCCCTTTATCGCTTCTCTTGCCGGACGTTTGGCGGGGGAAGCAGGATTTTTTTTCATGAATTTTTTCATCAGCAAGCATCGGCCAACTGCGTGAGACTGAAAAGGAAAACCCCTGCGACTGTCATCCTGACCTGCCTCGAGTTCATTGAGCTTAAAAACAAGTTTTTCGAAAAGTTCAAGAGACTCTCCGCAAAAATTAAACCCAAGGCACAGTTTGTGACCAGGTTTGGTTGCACAAACAGCAGCAGTAGTCATGAGATTAAAAAATTTGTGTGGAACACTACTTACCATATAAAAATAGCAGAGGCAACAGCCAATTGTCCAGAAAACAGAGCCTGTCTTCACAGATTTCACCTGGGGAAAGACGAATAGATTAGAAGAGGCATTTGCCACATCGCGGGAAGCCTCGCGCTCAAGATCCCAAACGGAGAGAAGCCAACGAGTAAAAAGTGTCCAAAATGCTAAAAAGCACGAGAAACATCCGGTGGTGATGTAAAACCCGACGTATTCGTAGGAGGAGCCGCGTCACGAAAGTTCTTCTCCGCTCTTCCAAAAGGTCGTGTTATTGTGAGGGTCTGCCGTTAACCCGGCCGCCACGTGGTCAGCATGGAAACCCAGCAGGCCTTTTTAAGACCTCTGATGTATAATTCATCATCTGAGGCCATACAACATTAAAATGAGGGGCCCACTTTTTTGGCTACGTTTGCAGAAACTGAACAAACGATCTTTTTTTTTTTTTCCCAACAGGTTGATGGGACACAAACAAAAACAACCCTCCCAAAAAATCTGCATATTGCAATTGAATTAAAAAAAAAATAGATGATGAAACAATTGCAACCGCCTGCCGACTAGTTCATTTTGCCCCAAGTCAGACAGGATACGCTAACCCCCCCTCCCCCAGTGACAGTAAAAGGGATAGAAAGGAGATTGACAGATGAAAAAAATATATATAATAAAAAATTGGGGTTGATGTAAGGGCACATCGTGAAGTCAAACCAAGACAATGTGCATGTGAGCCCACTCGCCAACTGGGTACAGCTGGATTGAATGCTCATTTTTATTCATCTGGCCTCAAGTGGTTTCTTCTCCTCTCATTCTTGCTTTAACCCTTTCATGCAGCCTGTAACCCGATAACATGATAAGCTGTCAACTGTAGTGACCGCTGTCCCTGAAAGGGGACATTGCTGTATAATACTTCCTTTCCTGCAGTAACACTCTGCCTCCTCACATTTTAATGAACCAATTAAAAAATAAAAAATAAAATGAAGCACACATACCCAGAGGTAGTAGGTGAACTGCAGGGCAAAGATGGCAATGCCCTCATTGTCAAAGGAGCCGGCGACCGAGCGGGAGATGTAGCCGGGGACGATGGCGATGAAGCAGGCCGCCAGCAGCCCCGCGCCCTGGTTCCACAGCTCCCGTGTCAGCAGGAAGGTGGAGATCGCCGTGAGACCGCTGAACACCGGCGCCAGAAAGACGCACACGTCGCGGATGTGGACCGTAATGTGAAGCAAGTTGAGCACGTAGTGGATGAGTCCCGCAGTCACCATTAAACCGGGATAGACCTGCGGAGGCGGGCACGGAGTTTTAAATGCCGATTTAATGAAGGGGGGGTACATTATTTATCAATGTGTCTCAGGAAGCATTCATTGAGCGGGTTTCTGTTTTAAAAAACAAACAAAAAAAAAAAAAGAAACGTACTGCACAAAAGCTTTGCTCATTGTCCCGAGGCTGCCGTGGTTTGGTTTATCGCTTCTATTGTGCTCTTTTTGGACGGCCACATTCAAGAGTCACTTCTTTCTTATCTGTAGTTTCCGGGGAACGCATATCTGGCAGGTCTCCTCGGCGGAATGCATGATGGGTGCGAGTGAAACGGAAATAGGATGGATTGGTCCCGAAAAAAAAAAAAGTCGACTGTCACGGTAGGTGATAAAGGCCCCATCTATTTGCTAAATGGCGTAACCACCTGAGTGCTAGCAGGCTTAATGTTATCATAAACAATTCATGAGAACAGACCCCCCGCCCCCATTCCCCCCCTGAACAAAAAAAAAAAAAAAAAGGCTGCGACTATGGCAGGGGGTGGCAGCAGTGTCAGGACGTGCAAAGTGCAGCGCCGGCACTGTCGGAGTGCCAATTAACGATGAAGATGCGCCCCGGTTAGAGAACGATAAGACAAACGTAATTATTGTAGTCGAGCGGAAGTAATGGGTTGAGGGGAAAAGTAAAAAGGTCTTAATGGTGCCGGAATCGACCATGCGGTTTTAGGAGAGACGTGTCCTGTAAAAATCAAACGCAGGTAACACAGCCTGCACATCCGTGACGACGAGCTCGGCTTGCCGTGGATCACTTCACAGCCTCTGTCGGAAGTCACATGGCGGAATACGGGTTTGATGCTTTTGCGTATTCCAGAATACAATAGTCCAAACGTTATCAGTCACTTTGAAAGCGTTGCAGTGCGACGGGTCAAAACGCACGCCGCTTGAAGCAAATCAAATCACTTTGCTGTGGCAACTGTGCGGAGTCATTTTTTTTTTTTTTTTGAAGTGAGCTCCGAATTCACCGTTCACATGACACAGAGACAAAGAAGAGACGCAAAATGAAAACCAGCTCGGCACATTTTTTTTTTTTTTTTTTAAAGATATGGAAAAGGGAGAACAGGGCAAGTTCAAAGCGGAAGGATTGCTTGTGTTTTGGAGAATAATGGGAGACATCAGACAAATGGCAAAGATCGCCCACCAATTAGCTTTGCTGTGCAACAATTTGACCAGTTCGAAGCACAATTAGCTCATCTCTGAATTTATTGCAAGGCTGAGGAGCATGTTATTCATACCGTTTTTTTTTTAAAATATACATCCATCCATCAGTAAAAGTACTCTATGGACGCTAAAAGTTGCTCTCGGCACGCCGCTAGGAGTTCCCGTTATCGAGATAAGTCACCAATTGCAATCGAGGTTTCATTATTTTTCTTGCTAAAATGTGTTCAGAATCAACACGCCATCCGGACAAAGCGAGAAATGCGTTTTTGGCCTAAAGGGACTTACTGTGCCGCCGACAATCCTTCCCAACGGGTACCAGGCTCTTTCGTCAAACCAGTTGAGAAACTCGTAGAAACCATTGGTTGCCAGATGATGCGTCGATCTGTAGTTGAACCTAACGGAGACACAAAAATACGGTTGAGTTGCAGTTTCAGCTTTGTCGCCGCTTGCCAAATTGCTACACCCCCCCACCCACCCAAAATAATACCTTTTAGAAAATGAATTCATCTTAAATCTTGTTCAGGTAATACTAACAATCCACCGTACGCGATGGTGGACACACACACAAAATGCAGCAATTTAAACAAACACAAATAAATATCGGGAACAAAAAGACACACCAGGGTGTTTATTCTCAAAGTGCTTGAGTGAAAATGAAGGGGTTGGGGTAGAGTCAAGCGCCGGAATAAAACGCCACAGACTGCTGCCACAAAGAGAAAAGTGTACGCTGCAGCTAGTTGGCCGTTATGATGCGTTTGGTTTTTTTTTGTTTAATACCAATAGTAAGAAAAAACTGACAGTGACTCTGAGTAGACTTAAGTACGTTCCATCATTCCTTGACATTTTCTGTTTTGACATGGTGGTATTCGAGATAAAGACTGAGCAATAATCCTCGACGGGTACAGAAAAGAAAACGGTAGCCCCTCAAGTACACACTCGGGACTCCAAGGAAACGTGACTGATCTTCGTAAAGCTCCATTTCATTGATGACTCGTTTTCTGTGGCGATGCCAATCAAGGCAGGGCACAACCGAAGCAAGCTCAACTGTCATGATCATTTCCTCTTAGGGAGGTAGATTTTCGGTTCTAAATGCAAATAGGATTTTTTTTTTGGACCATTTATAATGACTATTTTCCCAAGATATTGCTGTCAAGGTGACAAAAGATGAGCTTTGCGGGGGCGTCTTAGACTTTAAGCATCGAGTAGAACTTATGCGCCGTGCGTTCGGACTGGTGCTCGTTAGTAATAAGAATTTCTGCACAGACAAACGGTTCAACGATTGAATTTTTTCATCTGTATCAATACTGTTGCTGCCGCTAGGCACCTTGTAGTGGGCCTGAGCCAAGATAAAGGATTTGCCTGGGTCCAATGTCTGATTTAAATTAGATAAGACCGTAATACTAACCTCTGAAAACAAAACGCAAACAACTTTATGACTGTGCAGGTACTGCAACAGGATTCGGAGTGGTGCTGAACATGCGACTGGACAGTGTTGCAAGCCAGTTTATGTCATCCTCCTACTCGGCTACATGAGGAGGAGGATTGAAATGTTTTCTCTCTTAAGATGCAACAATTAGCGTTCCCACTTTAAGTCTGTAACTGTCATAGAAAGTATATTCACGCAACCAATTACTTTGCAAAAAAAAAAAAAATTGTGGTTCATACCGGAAGCCGCTCACAAAATTCACGCCAAAGGCTCGTGCGGCCTCAGAAAAAGGTGTATGTACGTCTAAATAACAGACAAGTATAGCCACATACCTGTTTCACGATTTACAGCATTTCAGAGTTATAAACAGCCCACTGCGTGCACTTTTAACTCTGACGATGCCCCTAAATTTCACATTCCTCATCTAGACAAGTGCAAACATAACTAATTGGGAGATATGACCCCCGTCCCCCTCACCCAAAAATAATAAATAATAATCTATTGTTACCATCAAGCAAAAATAGGATAAGGCACTGGGGCAAACTAGGCAGCAGACAACAGCATTAAATCACCCAGAATTTGATTAATGACTGACACTAAACGGTCTTGCAAACACAAAAGAACAAACAGAAGCTGCTCTATTTACCTATTCAGCAGTGACAGTGACGCCCATTGACGACACAAGAATTTTTATCACCATGTGTCATGATGACCTCAGTCGTCGTCGTATACTATATTTATTGACGTTTTTTAGAACAGTACAGGCGGATGATAAAAAGAAAAAAACTAAAGCTGCCGGGCATACAACTGACGTAAAAAAAAAAAATCTATAAATAAATAAAATGGGGTTATTGCTGATCACGATGGCTTTGCTACGTACTGCAAAGTCATGAAGAGACCGCGTGAAATATACTGCCGACCCGATGGACTGCACATCAGCGCGAGCACCGTCAAGACACTGACACCTTTGCGGCCTCTCTGCGAACTGAATCATTAAGACGCTCTGCTAAATCACATAAAGTAATGTTGGTCCAAAGCCGCGGTAGCTGCATCAAGAGGCAGAGCAGCCAGCAGAGACCAATAATTAACTGGACCACGGTGGCTATTTCCATTATCATTATGTCCTGAAGACACGATGCCGCTGGAGCTTCATCTACGCAACTAGAATAAGACGGGAGAGCAACACTCCTACAACAGTGATGCGGGAGTTCAACATTTATATTTCTCTAAGTTGGGTCAATATGAATGAAAATTTGTTCCGTTTAGGGCCCGTCAAATAATTGGCCAAAATCAAAATGGCCGACGTTTGCCATTGCTTTTGCCTTTTTAAGGGCTCAACCATTGTTCAGCTGTTCTACACAAGTAAATTATACAGTAGAAATATATTGAAATGTGTTAAGTCTTTGTTTTTATGGTGCTTTTGTGAGAGGACAAACAGAACGTGGTGGCTTGTGGTTGTCCTTGTTGACAGCCTGCGCAGGTAAAGAGTTTAGAGGGTAGATTACATCACAGTGTCAATACTGCTTTTTTTTTTTTAAGCGGTGATTGACACACTGGAGAGACAAGTTGAGCGAGCACTACTATATCACAAAACACCATCTTTAACAGTGAACTTTTGTCCAGACATAAGCAAGTTAGCTTAGCTCAGCGTATGCAGCTGTGAAGTATGTGATGGCTTCAAGGGGAAATCAACCGGAAAATGTTCTTTCCAGTAGGTTCTATGCGTCTGCGCTAGTGTAAACGCAGCATTTTGATTAATATTGTGTTTGGGGAAGAAGAATTGAAGTAACAAAAGCCGCCCATTTTTAGCCATCTGATGCGGCGGCCATTTTGCCACGTTGTGTCAACTGAAAATGACAACAACCCAACTGAACCAGAACAATTTGGTCAACTGTCTTGGTTGGTGCTTGAGGAATATCTCATACTAAGAACAAATTAAACCATATTACGGTAAATGCAAACCATGCTCTGTCTTTTTTTTTTTTTTTGCTGCTGTTCGGAGGAACACAGACAAGAAATGTGGTCCCATCGCATGAAACCCCCAAGCAGAAATCGTTTGATGTAGCAGCCGTTATCCACGTAATTTAATGAGCAACCAAGCAGAATACAGATAAGTCCAAAGGGGCTTTTCCCTCGTCTTTGTAAAAACACAAAGTTACACTATTATAACCGTGACTCAGCATGCATAATTTAGTGGAGGAAAAAGGACACCGATTTGTTTAGTGGGGGGCAAAGTTCTTGTGCTTCATGAGCATCGGATAGTCTTCCAATTATATCATCCCAGTTATTTGGGGGGGACGGGCAGGAGGGGGTTCACACTTAAGGGCTTTGGTGGCACGGATGAAGGATCGCTCATGGCTAAACGGATGACACTATAAAGTGTATGCTCCGCTCTTCATCAGGCTGAGGAAACCCAAATTAATCTCAGCGCCCAGAGAATTTCCTTTCGCTGTGACAGAGAGCTTACAGTGGAGATTTTTTTTTTTTTTTTTTTGAAAGGTCCTAGTGGAGCACAGTGGTTCAATTTAATATAACTTCTCCATGCATCTTAAAACGTAACAGGAGTTACATTGACATGACATTGAAAAAAAGCTAAACCACATTCATTCACAACTTTCTGGATGTTAAAATAAAGGCCTTCTAAAAATCATTGATGGCCGGACTCAATGGAATATAATGAATTATGATTCAGTTACTGATTCGGCCCGAAACATGTTTGGGGGGGGGGGGGGGGGGGGGGGGGGGGATCATTGTTTTACAAAGTAAAAAGGTTACCGTTATGGTTCGGTAGTGTCCAAAATCAAGTTTCGCCAGCTTCAACATCATTTATTGAATTTCATCAGGAACCTAATCGCTGGTTAGACCAGAACAGTCAGAAGAAAGAATGGCCTTTGTTCACAATAATTGCTCATTGTGTTGATAAAATGTTATGGGTATATTAAAAACAAAAACAAACATTGCAGAATTTACTGTGGTGCCCAGCGTCCAGAGGTGTCAGAAAGGATCGGAGCCATGTCAGTTTTTTTAATAGCATGTCTTAGGTTGGATTTTGTCAAGGATTTATTTCAACAAAGCAAAGACCCACAAAAAAATTAAAACAAATACATATCAAACAATGACATTTCTATGGCACCATCTACAGAACCTCCCAAGGAGCTAGGTGCATGCTGACACCTGTCAGTTTGCCCCGATTCAAGCCCTTCATCCTTCCATACTTCCACACTCGCGACGCTGTGATAAGGAGGAGACGATATTCAGGAATCTCCAAACGTGTTAGATACCTAAAATTCTTATCCAATGATTAGCGGCGAAAAATGTTTCTCAGGTTGAACCTGAAATATCGTGTCTTTGTCACGTATCCAATTAAATACAGGTTGAACATGATTTGAAAATCATTGTACTCTGCTTGAGTGGAATTCTTTGGTCTGAAATTTATATGTATGTGTATCTATGTGTAGAATTGTGAGGGGAAAATGACATTGATCCCTTTTGGTACAAGTCGGCCACAAAACGAGCGAGACAGACTGTAGATGAAGAATTCAGCGCATGACAGAAGTAGGAGGCCAAACCAGTTGCAACACTTCACTTTTTCCACATCAATCAATAAAACAGCCATTCTGTGCTACTACCATACACCCTGTAAAAAAAAAGTGCCAAAGGTGTCACACCATGTTAAAAATGTGCGGGTGGGCTTCTCTGTGATGTGACGAGCATAACTAAAGATGAATGAACAGCGAGTGGATTTTCAATCCACTTACCTGATTGACCTGACAAAAATCTGAACCGACTATTTTTCACCATTACATGTGCAATTTCATTGTTTTGGAGCCCAGAGAACATACATTAGTCTGACTCCTTGTTGGCTGCTCGCAGCCTGCCAGCAAATCCAATCAATGTGTGTGTTCTTGTGACTATCTCAAATCAACATTGGTAAATGTTTGTCATGGGTACTTCCATGAGAATATTTTGAGTGGGGCGACATCTAACAGTTAATGATGACATAGACTAATGAGTTAATGCTGCAAAAATATTATCCCCCTGAATTTGTTCACGTGGAATGTTTTTTAATGACTATTACTATCGCTCGCTGGTATACTATTTGCAGGACTTTCAATCCTACAGTAAAAAAAATATGTATAAAAGTTCCTGTTGATTTCATTGACAGATTTATAATGAGGCAAAAAAAGTTCCAACTCTCACGATGAAGTGTCGCAAAATACTCGGGTGACCACCCAGGTGCTATGTGGGAAGCCGCTAATGAGAGAAAGCAGCCTCTGACCAGTATTTAACACTCTGCAACAATGTTAAGGTCAATGCTCGGAGCTAATTCCAAGCTCTTAGTAAAAAACGGTCAGACTCTTTAACAACATACTTAGCCGGTCCACCGTTAAGCTTTCAAAAGGGTACCATACACCAGTGACCGGATGAAAATAGCAGAACCGGAACTTGCTGACGAGTAGTGCTAACACAAGTACACTATCGTAGATGCTCAGAACAAAATGGTTAAAGTAAACGTATTACAAATATATATTTATAATATTAAGTGTAAATTAATGTCGCCTATAGTATGCTTTAATATGAATTGTCCCTCTGACAATTATTTTTTTGCACAGTATAAATAGTAGAAAGGGTTCTGTCAGTCGTCATCTGTACCTGTGGGTAAAAAACAAAAAACAAAAAACAAAAAACAAAAAAGGACGTTTCGCTTCTCTCACAGAAGCTTCGTCAGCGGTAGACAACCCTGAAGTCTCCGTGAAGACTCCGGGAAGTTGCTCTGCGCTAAAAGGCTGAGCGTGGCCTGTT